GCCCAAGAACCAGACTGGTGACAGGCTAGGAGTCGGTTCTGAAACAAAACGGTGCATCCTAGTCTAGTTCTAATAAATGTAAGCTTCTCTGCTGCCCTGAAACACAAGCCCTCCCATGCTGTTCCTGGGCATGAACCTCAAAATAAAAAACAGGCAAAACCTCAAATAATAAATACTTTCTTTGAAGTCCTCTTATACATTCATTCAGCAAGCACTTAAGCACCTTAAGATGTAAGCCTAGGGGCCCTCCCTGGTGGCACATCAGGTTAAAGCACAGCACTGAGAATCGAAAGCCACTTCCACATGAGTTCAATCCCCACCTGCCCTGGAGGTGACCCACATGGTGCAGCAGACCTCTCTTGTCCCTCCCGCTGCTCCCCTCAGCAGTGTACTTTGTCCATCTGCCTGTTCTGCTCCCCACTCTGTCTCTTGTAAAGCCTCTCACTGCCCCTGCACCTCTGGCCTGTACCCTAGTTCTGTATGCACAAATAAATAAATAAATAAATCTTTAAAAAAAAAAAGATATAAGTCTGCAGGGGAAACACGGAGACAAGCCAGATACCTCCCTATCCCTGCGGAGCTCCCCTTGAAGTTGGAGAACTAGGCCTCAATAAATCATTACACTACTATGTGTAAAAGCCTTATAATAGGGCTGTGTTCCAAGCACAAAACAGGCTTAGTAAAGAGAGGGAGGGACTAGTTCTGAGGGGGTGAGGGGTGCAGGATGGGGACTGTTGACAAAAAAACACAAAAGAGTTAGTGTTGGAACTTGGCTTGACCACAGAAGAGCGAAGGAGGCTATCGTGGGACCCGTCTGTGCAATTTGGAATGGTCATCCCTGCTGTGGCTAGGGTGTGGAATGTAGGCCAATGGGAGATGAGGCCAGAGAGACAGGGTGGACTCAGATTATAGTCAATCGAAAAGCGTGCAAATTTTCTTTATGAAGTGCCTCTAAAGAGTTTTAACCATGGGTAGTAATGCGCTTTGGCTCTGGACTCGAGAAGTTATACAGGTAGCTACGTAGAACATAGACCAAATCAGGGAGAGAATTCAGGCAGGAAAACTGAAAACCATGCTGGAATAAGTCAGACAGGAGGATATGGGAGATGGCCTAAGGCACTGATGTTACTGTGCAACCTGTTGGGGCCTGTGGTCAGCATCTACCTCTCAGCAGCAGCCTCCACCACACGCTGGGGTACGCTAGATGTCTGACGTCACTTCCTGTCCTGTGTGCTCTGACGTTGGTCCGCACTCTTAGACAACAGTCATGTGGGTATTCCCAAATGGTGGAAAGAAGAATCGCATTTCTGTAGCATCCTTTTGATTTTTTGTTGTACCCATGCCGGAGCCCAGCAGCAACCTGGAAAAATCACCAGGCCGGCATCTGGTACCATTTCTCACCTGGGGGAAAAGCCTCTCATGAGCTAGCGGGTCATAGCTGAGAGGCTGAGAGGATGCTGGTGGTTCAGAGCGGCTCCAGGCCCCAGCTCTTGGCCTATTTTAGGAGGCTACCTGGGGAGAACAGGGGCTTCCCCACAAATCAATCAACAGTTTTTATATAGCACAGTTTAAATAGCATTTTGGATTTCTGCACCTAAAATCTTAGGTAATAGTTGAGGAGGGAGGTGTTCCCCTCATTATTGAGAAAATTGGTGTTTCCCCAAAGTGTTTTGAAGGAAACACACTAAACAACACTAATAAGGTAAAAACGACCTGCGTTAACACAAGCTGGAGATTTTAACTAATAGCATGCCACCTTTGAGTATTTGAATAAAGGGTAAGAACACAAAAGCAGATCACATCTTATTCAGCTCAGAATCTCCAATGATTTCCTGTGGCCTTCATGATATTCAAGCTGCCTGAGTCTCTACCACCTGCCTTTCGGGGCTCACTTTCTCCATCTTTCCCTTAAGGACCCCACTTTGGGCACCCTGGACTTGCTGCCCTTACATACATAGAACTCATTCAAAATTCAGGCCCTTTTCATGGGCCACTTCTTTTGGAATTATCGATTGTTCTTTCCTCAGATTTTTGAGTGGATTTCTTATATTATTTGGATTTTTTGCTTCAATGTTCACTCTTTAGAGTGAACATGACCATGGTCCTTGACCATGGTCTCTGAAATGAGCTCCCCCACAACTACACACACACACATACACAAACACAAACATGGACATACATACTGACCCTGGTCTGTTTTTTCCTAACTTTCCATGCTTGATTTTTCTTCATGGTATTAATAAATAAAAATTTGTATTTATTAAAATTCTATCCATTTAATTAGTTCTGTCCTCCACTTGACTATAGCTCTATGAGGACATTGTCTCCCTGGGCTTCAGCTGTGCCTTCCCCACCTCTACCTGGCACATGGTAGAGCCATGTTTGTTAAATTAGAAAACTATCCTGTACAAGATTAGCACGCAATGATCCCTCCTCCACTTTTCTCTAATTGCCTACCACATTTACAATATTGATAACCGTCTAACAGTAATATTAACAAATAATGGTATAATTTAATTATCAAAATTATTCATATACTATAACAATATGTTATAACTTGATAAAGTACTAAAATAATATACAACAAAAATAATATTAAAACAATAATCAAAATGATAATAAAAACAAGTTTTGGCCTTCCCTGGTGGCGCAGCGGGTTAAAGCACCGCACTGAGAAGCTGAAGCCACTTCCGCATGAGTTCGATTCCCGCCTGCCCCGGAGGTGACCACATGGCGCGGCAGACCTCGCCTGACCCGCCCGCTGCTCCCCTCAGTGGTGTACTTCGTCGATCTGCCTGTTCTGCTCCCCACTGTCTCTGGTGAATCCTCTCACCGCCCCTGAGCCTCTGGCCTGTACCCCAGTTCTGTATGTACAAATAAATAAATCTTTTTAAAAAATGATAATAAAAACAAGTTTTAATAAAGTCTTAGTATCTTCCAAGTACTGTTAACTTCTAGTCATATTAATCCTTCCTGCCATATTAACCAAGCATTAAATCATCACTTAAACTTCATTATAACCCTAGCAGGTAGATTTTATTATTTTATACTTCAGGACATACCAATTAAAAGTTTAAGAAATCTGTTGAAATTTTAACATAGGTTTATAATGGCCAAAAAATCTGACATAAATTTAGATAGATTTTAAATCTCACAATGTACAAAATAGAAACTGAGATCAAGAGGACCACTTGGTGTGAATTGAGCTTTCTAGTTATAGAATAAAATGACAAAAATACCTACCATATGTTTTGGAATGTTGTTTCAAAGCATTAAAATGAGAGTGGAATAATAAGCACCTATTTAATGGCACTCATCAAACAAGAGAAGGATTCAACTTACTCTTGGGAAACTGAAGGAGTGTTACCTAGATTCCTGGAAGCCACCAGACTCCTCTTACAGATGGGAATGTCTTTGTCTTACCCCTGTAGATACCAAAAATAATTTCCTAGAAATTAACTACTTTCCCATAAGGTCTGCAAAATGTTAGGAAGACCCTGGCAGTGCTTTATGCTACATGCTTAATTTGTGCTCAGAAAGATCTTGCAAAGTCACTCAGACTCATTTTTACTCTTAAATCTTAATGAGGGGAAGCAAGGTTCATTATGACCACATGGGAGACAGGCCCAGGGAATTGATGCCACAGTAAATGTGAGCCCGGTGTCTGGAAACCATTTTTGTAGGATAGCTGTTCTGCTGTTTGGGCTGAGATAATAAAAACAGAGCTCCAAGTCATTGGTGATTTGGGGGAGGAGGGGTTCAAACTGATCTTGGTCAGAAAAATAATAATAATAATAATAGTAAGGGCTGATTTTTCCATCCAAGTGGCATAGTCTGGTTGGAGTCCATCCCAACCAGGGTCCACTATCGTCTACACTCATCAGGTTTCAGTCCCAAGGGCCAGTGAATAGAAATTTTCCTGTCTCCATTCTCTCCATCAGAAGAATTGCTGATGGTGATAGTTCTGGTTTTTTTCCCTGGGTGATCTCTCCCTGTACAGAATTCAGGAAGCTAAACTGAATATTCTGTGCTTCCCTGGAGAGAGATTGGTCTTTTTAATCAGACTCATCAAACAGTGGGTATTTTTGTTCCCTGGGATAATAAGTGCTGTGGGTTAATGGGTCATCTTCATGAGAGAGGTCAGAAGGAAAAACTGCAGTATTCAAAGCTGGAGCTAGAAATGCCAGCCATGAAAGCACAGTACTCACTGGGCAGTGATGATGTATAGGCTTTGCATTGGCCAGCCCCCTCTGAGGGGTCACCGCTAACCTTTATCCTCAGCAAGCCCAACAAAGTCTCTGAATGTGGCTGAAACTCCACCCTGGGGAGAAGCCATCCAGGGAATCCCTGGTGTCTGTGCTCCCGCGTTCTTTTTACTAAGAGAGAATTATATTCTGGCTCCTTGCAGACTGACGTTGTAAGTTCTTTGAAGATTGAAAAGAACAAAAAAAGCAAACATCCACAGAAAGGGGGAGGGGTGGGAGGAGAAGGAATGACAGAGGGAGAGAAAGAGAGAGAGAGATATCAGCAGGGGTAGTTAGCAAAAAGGGGCCATAGACAGAAAACCTTTGTCTTCTGCATTCGTTTGGTGTATACTGTGAGGTGAATGGCTTTGAAATGAAATGGGTTTATGAAGGAGTTGCTAGGTCACAGGAAGCAGGACTGTCAGACTGCTTTGTAAACTCGGTCTCTTTAAAATGTAACTACATCTTAAAAAGGGATTTATCTCCTTTTCCTAGGTTTTATTTGGGGCGGGGGAGTGTCTGTGGAGGAATAAAGTTCGAGACGGCTTCCCACTTCGTTGTTTTATTTTCACCCTTTCTGATAGTGTGTAAAAAAAAAAAAAAAAAACAGATCCTATTACAAGCTAGAGTGGGCGGATACCTCATTGGCTCTAGCCAATGGCAAGACGGTTTAGAAATGAAGGAAAAGAAGGACGGGCTTCCCGAAACAGCAAGCTCCCGAGGCTTTCCAGCACAGCAGAGGGGAGCTTTTACTCTGGCTGGACTGTCTCACTTTCATTTAACACTACGGTCTATGGAGGGGCGGACACACCAGTGCTTCATGCAATCCGACAACTAGGTTAGGAAAACAGCTGAATTCCCCGCTGCTGAGATGAAGTATAAGGTAAGAGAACCTTTCACATAAGGTTTGTGTGCATGCGTGTACGTGTATGCGAGTGTGTGGGTTCAGTTGTGTGACCTTTACACGACACCCCTTGGGTGTCACAGAAAGTTCTGAGAGGGTTTCCAGTCATGGAGGCTAGCATACGGACGAGCAGAAACTCGGTCTCCAAGACCATTCCTTGAGTTCACAGTATCCTGGTCCATCTCTCTGCATGTTTGGGGGATTATCAGTCTTAAAGCCTGGGAGTTTGGGGGAGTATTAAAACCTATCTCCAAACCTTGTCTCTGCTACCACTGTAGATCAGAAGTTATCTAACCTGATGCTGGGTGGGCTTGACTCTGCTCCCCTTCTGTTTCTGTGTCCTAGCAAGAGAGAGATTGGAATGCTGAGTCTCTCCAACTGTCTTGAAACAGTTTTCAGTCTTTGCTTCAGTGTTTGGCCTGTAAAGCAGTTTGCCATATGTATTTTTGATGGAGAAGTTAAAATACCTTAGATACTGTTATACAGCTGCTGACAGAATTTTGACATTCTGAAAGGGTATTGGCTGAAAATACTTTTATTGGTTTTTTAATGGACTGGGGGTTTAAAGGTTCTGGCAAGCAAATATTGCCTGTGAAGCTTGCAGACTTTCATATAGACTGCAGCAGCATGAATTTCCCATGCATTTCGCACCATTGCTTTGTATTTATTCATGGCAAAAGGATTATCACCAGCTCAGCAGATCCCATTTTGTTTCAAGTTGCTCCCACTCTTAGGAGGTGACTTGCTTCCAGGGACACCATACAGAGGAGATTGCAATGTTGTGAATTTTCCTTGGATGATGAACACTTCTATTTTAGAGTAGGCATGAGCCCTCGTGCTTTTAAACAAAAGTGCAGTTTTGGCAAGGTGGTTATGTTTTTGGATGAACAGTTTCTATTACCTGTCTGACCTTAAAAACTGTGGTACTACTTTACTTTTGTTTAGAATTATATAGCTTCTGGCCCATCCTTTTTTAATGTGAGCTTTAAACACTGAGTTCTGGCTAATAGCCAGCAGCTAACTTCAGTGATAATTCTTTTTTTCAAAGCTATAAATCTTCTTCAAAAGTTCTAAATCTAAATGTTGAAAGTCTTTATTGTATGTCATGAGTTATAGTTCCCCTTGAAAAGGTTACAGCTGTCTCAAGACACAGATATCACTTATCACCAAATTATCAGCTTCCCATAACTGTCCAGTAGGAATGTTCAGAGGGATAGGTAATCTTAAAGATTCTTAATATTTAACCTTAAGATGTAACCAAAAACAAATCCTTCTACTTGCCAGGGAAGTTCTCTTTCTTGACATGGTCCACCTGAATTTCCATAGTTTACTTATTTAGGACAGTGATAGGATTAAATATACTTAGCAGTGATTTTTTCCCCCCAACCTCTCCTTATTGCTGAATGCCTTTAGTGCCATAAAAATCAACTTTCATGAAAAAAAAAGAAAATACTTTCAAACATTTATTATTGAAAAGTACCAATGACTGGAATTAACATTGAGTCCTACAATCTAGAAAGTGACATTTCTAAAGTCACTTTTCTTCAATGACCTCACCAAATTTATTTTACTCTTTATGATAAGAAAACATCATGCCACAGATTATGTAAACTGTGAGTAACATTCATAAAGAAAACATGTCTCTTCCCTGGCCTTGCCAGTGTTGGCTACCCTGCCAAGTGATGTAAACACATAATTTTTATTAGCTTGTGGACACCTTTATTGGCAAAAATACCACTACTGAACAAATGACAGATTGAAACCCTGTGGTAACCTTACCAGACAATATATTTTAAGATTTTTTGTGGCAATAAAGGAATGTCTAACTCCGCCAATAACTCTGAGATGAGTATTATTCTTATTTTCACAAATAGAAATTGTGGCATAAAGACTAAATTATTTATCCAAAGTCAAACACAGCAAAAACAAAAAAGGCGGAGAGAGGTTAGGGAGTAGAGCTAGGATTAAACTGAGGTGCTCTGTTACTAGAATTTGTGAGTCTGAATCTCTGTTAAAGACAGAATGAATCACCTAACCCTCCTTAAAATATCCTGTGTGATGGTATTTTCTATCCCAAGTATTCTTCTAAGAGAGATTCAGACTCTTTTTTTTTTTTTTTTAGGTAGTAGACTACAAAGCAAAGTAACATGCATGTCTCGCAGTTATTTAATTTGAACCTCATAGGTGCTAAAACCAAGTAATGATTATATCGTAAACTCTGGAGTCAGAAATTATCTTTCCAACGCTATGGTGTTCTATACACTATAAATTTGGCACTGTCACATTTAAAACTGTTTATTGAGAGATTTATAATCCAGATGCTGTAAGGTTGTTTTGAACCAGATTATCTGGTTTGGCTACTTCAGGGATAGCTAGTAGAGAACAGCCAAACTGCCACTCTGTTTGCACTCACAGCTCCAGGGCCCTGGTTCCTTGTTTACGGTGATCTGGAGAACTGTGGAATGTCAGTTTTTACTATGGGCAAATTTTTTTGGTTAGCTTTTCATTCAGTCTGTTTTTGTGTTTTCCTTGCTCATGGGAAGGCTGCCTAGGTTACTCTGCTGTGTATTTACTGGACCATTTCTCAAGGGAAGAGGGCAATGTGTGCAGAGATCCCTCCCACTTTGTGCAGGCTCGGCCGGCCCAGGTGTTCATCAGATGTTGTCCATCTTATCTCTAAGAGCTGAGAAGCTTCTATGGCTTTGCCAAATTTCCCAACCCTGTGCGCTGACCTTGAAATGTTAAATGATCTAGTCTACCATTTGGCAAATTCATTCTTCAAAGTGTTGATGAAAGAAAAATTACAGGTGGAGTTTACAATACAATTAAGAAATCCACATGGGGGAGAAATGGGTCAAGGGGACTGAGGAGCACAGGCTTCCAGTTATAAAACAAGTAAGTCATAGGAGTGTCATGCACAGCATGGGGCTGGCGTCCATAGTAATATAATAATGTACTGCAAAATAGAGAATTGCTAAGAAAAGATAGAAAGTAGAGATGGTAGGAGTCCTTTTGAAATGTGTGCATATATCTATCACTCTGTTATACATCTGAAACTAATTAATAGTGTATGTCAGTTATATATACTTTGGAAAAAGAAAAAGAAATGAGATTATCAAGGGGCAAAAGAAAGACTACTTAATAAAATTCAGATTTCTGAGTTCTGATTAAATGTGAGTGAGGTAGAATTGGGGAAACAAAAATGTTTATCCTGTTAAATAATTTCAAGAAGACATGCAAAAACATTTTTGTTAACTCAAACTAGCTTGAGAAAAACTGATCAAGCCTTTTCCATTTAGTCAATATGGTCATTTATAACCTATATAACTTGCAATTCTCTCCTTGCTTTGATACTTTGGTTTTAAATTCTTTATTCTTTTTCAACGTTTTCTTGTACTTAATGCAGGTATCGATTTCTGCCCCCTTTTAAAATCCTATGTGCAATCTATGAATTTAAGAGCGACACAGGATGCACTGGAAAGTATTAACTTGACTATTTGTTTATGATTTGTTAAGTAAATTAATTTCCATAGCAAAATGGCTTACATATATGATGATGAAAGTCTTCATAGAACTGAAGGTACCTTGATAATACCAAATTTAGCAAGTTGCCCAATGTAATGTAACATTACCAGGAATTCCTTCAACATCCTTTCTAGCTGAATTATACATCAATCCTATTCTCAGAATGCATCAATGCCTTCCTGTCTGCCCCCCCCAAAACTGCAAAAAATGTCCTTTCTACAACTCAAGGTCTTTGCATTTCTTTTCTATCTCCTCATGACCTCATAACGCAGTAAATGCTTCTCTGATACTGGGCTTCTCCAGGACTTTCGTCCCCACCCACACGGACCGACACCTTCAGAATATACCTGTGACCCTACCTCTGGCCTCTCTCTTTTTTGCCTCTTGGTTCCTTGCTGTTCCCATCCATGTGTCTCTCTCTCTTGGTACCTACATGGCTGGATTAGGCTGTCAATCAAATCTCTTCATCCATCAATTCTATAAAATAATGGAAAATCTAAACTTTACTCTTGACTGTCCTCTAATACCTAAAATAAGCTTTATTTTCACACTTCTGTACTACTCTGTTAGCACTGGCTTATGTTTCAATGAAATCACTTATTTAAACAATATATTCCTATAATTCACATAGTTGCGCATAGATTGCCCTCTGGCTCATATAGAAGCAGATTAATAGACGAGTCCTTGCATGAAAATTATGATCTCGGGTCTGTTATGGCCTTGATGGTTATATATTCTTTCAATAGAGACAAAACAGAGTATGGACTTTGGGGAAAAAGGGATTTCTGTTTCTTGTTCCTTAATGCTTTTGTAACTTGGGTAAGTTAAATTTCCTGATCCTCAGTTTTCCTATACATAAAATATCTGTTTCATACTATTGTTTTAGACCTAAACAAAATGATGTGTAATTGTAAAGTAAGTGGATCATGCTAGTTGGCCCAGCGTTGCTTGTATAGTAGATGTTCAATAGCTTCTGGAAAGATAATGGACTCAAGAACTGGTGACAGGGTTGTCAAAATCCCAGTTATGGGCCAGGATGTGTGTTATAGAAATTGAACTTCCAGACATAGACTAACCAACATACCTGTATCTACTTATTGTTATTATGATGATTTATACATTAATGATTTAGCATTGATATAGTGATTAGTTATTGGTAGTCATTGAAATATTATTGACATCCCTGAAATTGCAGGATCTTGCTTAACAAATATGAAAGTGAAAGTTGAATTACATAAAACATATGCAAATAGCCATTACAAAGAGTCTTAATCTGCATGACCTAGTTGAAAAGAAATTGGTTTGTGTCAAGTCCCACTTTCGTTACTTTCTGGTTATATAATGTCAGGCAAGCTACTTCAGAACTCCGTATTCTCATTTATGAAGTAGAAATAATAAGATCTATCTTATCAGATGTACATGTATATGAAAAATCATCAATTTCCACAGTTAAA